CCAACAGGGACACACTCCCCCTGCCCCTCTCCCTGCATAGGTCATCGTACAGGGCAACCAAGGCAGATTCAGTACCATACCCAGGTCTGAAGCCGGACTGAAATGGTTCCAGATAAACCGTTTCATCCAAGAATGCTTGGAGTTGTCCCACCACCTGCTCCAACACCTTGCCCAAGAATGGGATGTTGGCCACCGGTCTGTAATTGGCGACCACCTCTGGGTCCAGGGCTGCCTTCTTCAGGATGGGTCTGATTACTGCCTCCTTTAAAGGGGCAGGGAACTGGTCCTTCTTCAGTGAGGCATTGATGACCTCCCAGACCCAGAGACCAATCCCATGACTGGCTCTTGTAAGTAGCCAAGAAGGGCAAGGGTCAAGTAAGCAGGTGGTTGGGCACACCATCCTAAGCACCTTGTCTACTTTCTCAGGCTGCAATAACTGAAACTCATCCAACAGTGATGGACCAGACAGCGCTCTGGACACCAATGATAATGAACCTGTTAGCCTTTCAATTAGCTAAGTTCTCAGAGCAGTTAGTTCCAGAGTCCAAAACAAAGCTGCAGACATGCTCAATGAGTGCAGACATGAGTGCAGACATTGGGATAATGGGTTCAAACAGAAAGGAATTCAATAAAATGGGGTCTCTAAAATTCTTGGAATTCAGAAAGAAGGTGGGATATAGGGTCAGTGTAAACTTTAAGGTGCAAGGTGGAAGTAGGATCAAGAAAATATCTTCTAATACGCAGAAGGGTTGTGTTTCAGTCGCCCTGGCTTAAGAAGACCATTGGCAGGGCACTACCCAGAGCTCACAACAAATTTAATTACAACTTCATATACATCTTTCATGGTCTCTTGTACATCAAGACCACATCTTCAGTAAGCTTGTCTTGAGCACAGCGGGTTCAAGAAGAAGACACCAGTGATGTACTGGAGATTTCCATACTATTATAATGGGTCCCTGACCCTATGAAGCATATTTGGGGGAAAATGGGGCTGCAACAGGTGAAAGTTCCCTTAACCCTGCTGGTGGGAGTATCCTCTGAGTGGACCAAGTTGAGATCCAACCAAACAAGCAGCTCAATTATGTAATGTCCAGTGTTTCTACAGTCCTGCCCATAGATTGAGTAAACATTCCTCAGTGTGGAGTCAAGAATGTGTGTGTGGCGGGGGGGGGGGGGGGAAGGTGGGGGGGGGGGGGGGGGGGGGGGGGTTATGTTGTGGAAGGGAAGGGAAGGGGATGTTTGTAATCAAGTCTCCACATGGGCAAGAACTGCTCCCACAAGGCAGGGGAATGTTTCTTTGTTTGAAGTTACTAGAAAACAGCCTTCTTATAAAGCACCCTGTATCACCAAAACCCTGACTAGCTCAGATAAAAGACTACACTTCAAAAGCCCTCTGTTCTGACCTGCTGGAAAGAGAAAAGAGGAAAGATGTTCTCACAACGTCTAGCTTCTGATACTACCTATGAATGTGAAGGTTCTGTTTAGTTATCAGCTGTGGATAGACCAAAAATCTATGAATTTATCTAATTTCCTTTGTAAGTCATCTAACTTGGCAACCATTGTCCTAACTGGTAGCACTGCAATTTCATACGAATAACAGATTCCAAATACCTATCAACTATTGTTGTGAGCATGTTGTGAGCAGAGCGGCTAGAGCCGGGGATCAGGCTAGATAGCCTGGGAGGCCCCTTCTCACTCGCTCTGTTTCTATGTTTCTATTTCCAATCATGCTTTAGGATGCATGAATAAAAGACTGTTCTCAAAGGCCATCTGCTTAGGAGAAGGCCAATATTTTATAGAACTACAGTCTCAGAATACTGAACACTGATTTTGTTGTGACAATGTGTTAGAATCAGAGGATTATAACCAATGATGGCCTTCTATGAACAGAACATCTTTTGCTCACAGAAGAGTCTTTGATCTAACAGTTTCACACATGGAAGATGATTTTTACAGATTTACTGGGACATATTCTATGCTCCTCTAGTCCCCAAGAAAAGCTGGAGCAGATTAGGGGATTGGGTTCAGGAATCTTCAAAGGGAAGGGAAAAATCAACAAAGCTCAGCTCCCCTCTTTTGCCATCAGCAGAGGCCTCCACTGGATTGAAAGTTCTTCAATCTGTCTGATAAGTGCCCTATGCTACATTTGTCCTAACACTGCCTTTCTCATCCATGTTAATCCAAAGGGGACAGGAGGTTTCAGGATGCAAAAGCTTTTTGCCACCTCCTCTGCCTGCCTTGTTCCCGCTCATTTGCATCCCCACCCATGGCCGACCAAAACTGATCTTAGTAACTGGTCCTAGTTATTGATTTTACTGCTGTATTTTGCACCAACTCCATCTTCAATGGCAGCCCCATGTAGAGTGCATTGCAGCAATCCAATGTAGAGATTACCAGTGTGTAGATTATTGAAGTCAGGCTATCCCTGTCCAGATAGGAGCATTGCTGGGCCACCAGCTGAAACTAGCAGAAGGCACTCTGAATCACTGAGGTCACCGAGGCCTCAAGTGACAAGGAATACTACCCATCCAAGCTGTAAACCTCTTCCCTTGTGGGGAGTATAACCCCATCTAAACAGGATGAACACCATCCAGTCAAGGAACCACCACCAACAACTTTTCAATCTTGTCCAGACTGAGCTTCAGTTTGTTAGCCCTTGTCCAGTCCATTGTTGCAGGCGGACACTAGTTTAACATATTGACAGCTTCACCTGATGATGATGGAGGTGGAGGGGGAGAACTGCACATCATTGGCATTCTGATGGCAATGCACTCCAGAACACTGGATGAGCCCATGAAGATGTTAAATAGTATGAGAAAGTGAACAGACCAGCATAGGGCATCATACACAGTGGCCAAAGCTGTTTCAATGGCAAAACCAGGCCTGGAGCCCAATTGAAATGGAGCCAGACAATTAGTCTCACTCAAGAGTGCCTGGAGTCGATGGGCAACAACCCTCTCAGGAACATTGCCCAGAAAAGGAATATTTGCTACAGGCCTGAAGTTATCCAGACATTCCAGATAAGGGGAGGATTTCTTCAGCATGGCAGCATGAGACCACTTCCATTTGCAAAGAGGCATTAATCACCTCCCTAAGTCAGCTGGTAATTCCTTCCTACCTGGCTTTTATAAGCCAGAAGGGGCAAGGATCCTGTACAGAGCTGGTTGCCCAAACCTAGCAAAGCATCTTTTCTGCATCCTTGAGCTGTACCAACTGAATTCATCCATTAACACCAGGCCACATTGTGCTCTGAATAACAGCCATGCTGGCTATGAGTGGTGGGAACTGTAGTCCTGTGCAGGGCTATGCTGAATGTTTGCTGGTGTTTCAGTAAAAATGTAAAAATTAGGGAACCAAAAGTTCCATCAGAATTGCCACCAGATGGCCTCCTGACAGTTGTTGGTAGCTAAAGGGTGTGTTTTAGTAGAGTTTCCCTCACCATTATATTACAGGATTACACTGACACACACAAAATGTGTGGGGAAAATGCAGCTTACAGCAGTTTCCAGAATATTGGCTGATAAGTTTAGTTTGGCTTTCCCAGACCCTCAAACACATTTCTGAAAAACACAAAAATGGACAAGAGTGGCAAGACTGTGGAGGTGACTATGTCAAGTTAACGTTGTTATCATGTTGCCTCTATGATGCTCATATGAATTCTGGGAGGGTATTCAGGAACCTTTCAGAGTCCCCCTGCTGAAGCTGCAGACATCATGATGACCTCAGAAGGGGAAATCAGGATGGGGATTCTGTCTCCTTCCCCCTTGCAGCCACTGTTGTGAAGATGTAAGTGAAGAGGAATGGGGGAGGCAGCAGGGGTGGCAAGAATCTTCTGCATCCTGAAGCCTTCCAGAAACACAGAATGGTGGAGAGAGAGGTGAACATTTCCTCCCTTGCTCCTTATGCTCTGCTAAGCATCTGTTGTCACAGCACTGGATATTCATAGCACTCTGACACTGGGATGCTCCTTCAGAAATAGGATTGCTTGCATCCCCCCACCCCCCCGCTCCACAGCACCCAGTTCACACTTTTACATAGAAAAGTAGCCCTTAACTCAATGCATTTCATAGAAAGTCCTGGATACTGTTTCAATGGAGCAGAATTCTGCTTTTGGCATGTTTATGTTGCTAATATATAATATTTATAACCAGATTATTTTTAAGGAACACAGAATTTAACAAAATAAAACCCTATTTTAATAAAAATAACTGATTAAAATAGCATGCATTGATTTTAATCCTAGTGGAAGTGGAGTTGATAAATTAAGGTTTATAGTGCATATAACAAGCAAGACCTTTCATCTGGTAATTCATTGCTGTGTGAGGCCTAGGAAGGATTTAGGATGTGCCACTCCAGGCTCTACATCAGGCTAAATTGAATGTTAATGGTATAATGCTTCAGACAGAGGTTGCCTTTTCATTGACCCTATACATTTAATTTGCATTACATGCAACATAATTAGCAAAACAGTAGCATGTCTATTATCCACTTGCCAGTAAAGCTTAGCGAATCAATTCAAGTTTAACTCAAGAAGCTTAACTTCAAACATGAACTGTAACCATGAAGGCATTCATTTTCACAGCCATGTTTTTGAGTGGTTATAAAACCTATTATCTATCACATGAACTCTCAAAATATACTTTGTTAAACCAGAAAACTTCCAACAGTTTTAACAGGATAAAAGGATCAAGATTGCAAATCATTTGCATATTTTGTATGTCTCATTTCCTCAGAATCCCATTTTCTAAGATATTAGCAATTTTAAATGCTAGTTTAAGTTGGGAATGCCACCTGCTCTTCATTTCACCTTGATTTTGTTGCACTGATTAAAAAGAGTCAGGGAGGTACAGAAAGGGAAATTATAAAGCATGAATAAGTTCATTTCATTTTGCAGAAATGTCATTATACTTGTAAATAGTTACAAGAGAATGATTGTGACAGCCTTTCTTAGTTTAGTGACAACCTGTTGATTCTTGTTCATTGTCACCATTTTATTCTAGGCTGGTATAATACTGCATTACTCTACATTGGCAACTATGCTGTGGATTGGAGTGACTGCAAGGAACATTTATAAGCAAGTTACAAAAAAGCCTCTAACATCTCAAAACAGTGACCAGCCTTCTTATCCAAAACAGCCATTGCTCAGGTATTGATAATTACTGGTATTGCTTCTGTGATTTTTGCTGTACAATTTAGGCTTTGCTATCCTTCAAATCAAATCATAGTGGAAATGTAAGCACCCCTGTGCTTCTGTAAGTAATAAGTTTTCAAAAAATTTTCCAAATATGCAGAAATGCTATTAAAAATAATAGAATCATAGAACAGTAGAGTTGGAAGGGGCCATTGGGTCCAACCCGCTACGGTTGCAGGACACCAATTTACATCATCTCACCATGCATTTCATTTCTTATTCCTACATGGAGGACTTGGCAATCAGGGTGGTTTATAACTGACCATTAAAACACAATTGAAAATACACAACACTATACAAAATCAATGTGAAAAAGTTGCAAGAGAAAATTTTGAAACCACATTTAAAATTCCAATAACTTCTACAAGATAAAACCTGATTGAACCTGAGTAAACAACTTACAAAGTTCCAGTAAAATAGATAACATTTCTGAGTAACTCAGGATCCTAATCTATGGTTTGCGCCTTGTTTAATTCTGTGGCTGTGGTGATCTTGATCCTTAGTTTCCTGGTTCCAAATGAGATAATCATCAACCTTCAAGCTGACAGGCTGATGATGATCTGATACAAAGCAAGAGGAATTGTAGGAGTATCTTTACCTCCTCTGTCCTCTCACTTACATTTGTGCTAGATGGCCATTTTTGGACCTCTAGCTGGGGCACTTTGGTGTGAATGGAGGAGACTTCAGATGTCACTGGATAGATTATAACCTGGTTTGTAGTCTCCTTCTCTCCCTGCCCACCAGAAAACCCCCTTTATTCCATTTCCAAGGTTGAGTTCCTGACCTTGAAGAGGTAACCAATATTTTTCTCTGCCAGCTGCAGGGCAGAATGTGGATTTCTAGTTCTAAGGTCCAAGCTCTGTCTCTGTACTCTGCCTGGGAATCTGAAGTATTCTTTGGACCCCCCCCCCCCACCGCCCCAGGTAATGTCTAGGGACCACAGGATCACTCCCTAAATTGATTACTTTCTCAGTTATTCATGCCACAGGGAGAAGGGAAATGGAAAGGGGTGGTGCATGGACAGAGAGCACAGCCATGACTTACATGTTTTGACTTATTATATAAAGATACTTAAGAAAGACTGTGTAAATATCTGAAAATGTATTATTTCTAATGCTTTTGCACCATTCTGCAACCTGAATCATAGCTTGTAGGAACACAAGAATGTGATGTTTTCCTAAATTTTCTTGCAAAGTGTGGTATGAACTTTGGCTATTTTTCATTACAAATATATTTGAAGATTTGATGTATTTACTATCACAGGGTAGGAATGGGAGTGGTATACTTTGATACCTTATTTTAATCATTTCTGAAAATTTAAATGTCTTTTCCAATTAATGCATGATTGGGGCAATTTAGTCACTTAAGGTACAGTCTTACATTACACATACTGTTTATTTTTTACTTTGCTGAGTCAGTGCCTTCTTATTAGCAGGCCTCACGATGAACATTGGTTTTTTATTTTTTTTATTTTTTTAGCCTGGGATACGAACCATCAGTTGCTTTACAGAGCATTTTCTTTCATAGAATCATAGAAGAGCAGAGTAGAAAAGGGCTATGAAGGCCATCATGTCCAACCTTCTGCTGTTACAGGACACCAATTTACCCCTCCCACTCAGATGGCTGTCCAATTTCTTTTGGGATGTCTCTACTGTGGGAGAGCCTACCACCTCTCTAGGCAGCTAGTTCCACTGTTGTATGGTTCTGACAGAAAGGAAGCTTTTCATGGTATCTAGCCTGAATCTGGTTGTCACATCTTAAACTGATGATTGTAGGATCTGTGATACTAGATCCTACAATCTGGTATCAGCAAAAAGAGATCTTGACCTTCTTCTTTGTGACAACCTTTGAGGTACTTGATACGATGTCCCCACTCAGTCTTCTCTTCTCAAGGCTGAACGTGCCAGTTCTCTCAGACTCTCTTCATAGGGAGGCGTTTCCAAACCCAGGATCATTTTTGTTGCCCACCTCTGGAACCTTTCTAATTTTTCTGCATCCTTCTGAAATCTTGGTGCCCAGAACTGGGGACTGACTAGTGAGGAGTATAGGGAAACTACTACTTCTCTTGATTTGGAAATAATACTTCTGTTGATGCATTCCAAAAAAGCATTTGCCGTTTTGGTGCTTGAATTGCATTCTTGGCTCATATTTAGTCTGTTGTCCACAATAACTCTGACGTATTTTTATTATATGATCTGCAGATTTGATTATCTTTCCTTGTACTTCCTTATCTAAATCATAAAGAAAGATGTTGAAGAGCACTGGGCCCAGGACTGAACCCTGTGGCACCCCACTAGTTACCTTCATCCAGTTTGAGAAGATGCCATTGATAAGCACTCTTTTTGTCCAATTCAGCAGCTAATTTTAGATCCACCTAACAGTTTTTCTGTCTAGTCCAGTTTTTGTTAATTTGTTTATCAGAATACAGTGTGGCAATGTGTCAAAACCTTTGCTAAAGTCTATGTGTATTATGTCTATAGTGCTCCTTCTGTCCATTTGGGAGGTTACCCACTCAAGAAATGAGATTAAATTAATCTGACAGGATTTATTTTGATAATCCATGATGGCTTCTTCTATGCAGACGTTAAACCTATAATGGCAGAAAGTGAAGAGGAACTAAAAAGCCTCTAGATGAGAGTTAAAGAGGAGAGCACAAAAGTTGGCTTGCAACTCAACATCAAGAAAACTAAGATCATGGCATCTGGCCCTATCACTTCCTGGCAAATGGATGGGGAAGAAATGGAGGTAGTGACAGATTTTATTTTCTTGGGCTCCAAGATCACTGCAGATGGTGACTGCAGCCAAGAAATTAAAAGACACTTGCTCCTTGGGAGGAAAGCTATGGAAAATCTAGACAGCATGCTAAAAAGCAGAGACATCACCATGCCTACAAAAGTTCATATAGTCAAAGCCATGGTTTTCCCAGTTGCAATGTATGGCTGTGAAAGTTGGACCTTAAGGAAGACTGAGCACCAAAGAATTGACATGTTTGAATTGTGGTGCTGGAGAAGACTCCTGAGAGTCCCATGGGCTACAAAGAGATTAAAGCAGTCAATCCCAAAGGAAATCAACCCTGATGGTTCTTTAAAAGGTCAGATACTGAAGATGAAACTCAAATACTTTGGCCACCTAATGAGAAGGAAGGACTCATTGAAAAGGACCCTGATGCTGGGAAGAATTGAAGGCAAAAGGAGAATGGGACAGCAGAGGTTGAGGTGGCTAGATGGAGTCACTGGGGCAGTGGGTGTGGCTTGGGTAGACTCTGAGGGATGGTGGAAGAGAGGAGAGCCTGGAGGAATGTTTTTCCATGGGGTCGTAATCTGTCAGTCATGGCTTTGCAACTAGCTTTGAAATCTGATGTTATTTCAGCAAAGCTTCTTATGGCAGTGTCATTAGTTCCCACATGGATGAGAAGGAACGGGTATTTGTCCGTGGGTTGTATGAGTTGTGTGAACTTGTTGGTTCTATCTTTAATCTTGGTGCCAGGGAGACAGCATACTCAGTGTTTCTCTGGGTCATCAGAGCATACATATTTTTCCATCTTGCACAACAAGGAATCTTCCACAACTATCACTCTTTTCCTTTTGGTGTTACAAACTTTGATATCCTTTTTCTTTCTTGATTGGCCTTTTGTCTCTTTTTAGAGTTATATAGTGTGTCTTGTAGTTCTTCCACAGTGGGCTTCTCACATGTCCCTTCCTCAAATAACTTAAAGCAGTTGGAGAGTTCCCCTGCTTCCCCTGGTGTAGTGTTTTCTAGGTTTTCTGCATCTAACTTTCACCCTGTTCCAGGGAGTTTCTTCCATTTCCCTTCCCTCAAGGTTCTCTTCTGCTGCCTCACCTGGTGATGCTATTCTTGCTTCTGGACAACACTTAGGTGTTGCAGCTCCTCTGCTCTGTCTAAAAACTTCATTTTCTTTTATCTTGAGTTTGGACACTCGCTGCTCCAGTGCTCTCACCTTTTCTTGTAACAGGACTACAGCTGCACCTGTTGCAGTCGTTGCAAGGCACCACTGTGGAGTCTCCTTGATCCATTGTTTGTGCAACCTTAGTGATTCTGTCTTGGAGCGGGAAGGGCTGTTGCAACAGCTGGTGCTTTCAAATGGCTTCACTAAGGTTAGCAACATTCCTACTAGTAAATGGGAGTGTGTTACAAGGGAGAAAAAAAGTGTGTGTGTGCACGTGCGCGCGTGCAGGGCTGGGGGGAATATAAGGTGAATTAAATAAGAGAAACAAAGAGGGAAGGGAAAATGTTAGGGACCTCACCCTTGACCTTTCTTGCCCAACTCCTGTTTGCTCACTCTGGCCATTTCCTCCCTGGGAGCTTGGCTGCTTATATCCCAGAGGCCCTTGCTCTGCTCTGCTCAAACTCCATTTGGCTCACTGCAGCTCAGTTAAATGTCTAGAACCGGTTAAAGCCAGCATGTCTGCGTCAAAGTAACAGCATGTAAGTGTAATTGGCTTGTGGCTGGAATGCTTACAACAGGGTTATCGGAGATGCTTCAGAAGAACTCGGGAGTAGGCTACTGCTCTAGAACCTGGACTGAGACATGCAGTGCAAATTGTTTGGCAGTTATCCAGTAGCTATAAACATCAGTGAACTCAATCCAGCATGGCCACCTTTGCATAAAAATGACATTTTTAACTAAAAGTAAAATGTGCTCTGTGATCCTGAGTGTGTTTATACAAAATCATTAACTCCCACCCCGTATTCTGTGTTCAGAAAAAATGCCCAGAATAATCTGTATTTATTCACTTCATTGGTTTTCTGTTGCTTACAATATTTTCTAGCCAGAGGAAGTTAATTATAAGCCCTTTAACATCTATCTAATGGAAGAAAGGAGTTAGCATTTGAAATTTTGTGCTCCGTATATAATGAGAAACAGTGTTTTTACTCAGATCTTGAGTTACTTGGTTTGTGATTCATTATAATGTTCTTCACTCAGTTGTTCATGG